CAAGTGTGATTTAATTAATAAAAATCCTTATGGACTAGAACGATAAGGAAACTACGATCTCAAACAGTTGTTCTACGATAAACCTTAGTATTATCTGAAGACCATCGACACACCATTTTTTTTGTCTGACACATAAAACGCCATAAAATAGAGATTTTTAGTTGTCTGTTCCCGTATCTTATGTATCACACATTGGGAATACAAATTGTATAATGCGAGCCCTGTGTTTGATAATCATATAGTGCAATATATTTTTTTAGTAAAGCAGACAGACGAAATCTCGGCTATTTCCGTGACGCTGGACGCCGTGACGTGGCCAGGACACGTGCTAGACGGGCCATTCAGCACGTGCGGCTAATTAACGGCTGATGGATTAGTCTGGATGTTGGCTAACGTGCCCGAAGTGTAGGTTCACATGTTGAACTGTCACTAGAGAATTCTCTATGTCTGAGGATGAGCAGCATATGCCACATGCCAAGATCACGGACAGATTTCAAACCCTGACAAAAGGTTTAAACCTGAAGAGGAATTGATAGCTCAAGCATCTTTCCAAAACAAGACGTGGGGGGTGCTCCCGCCAGTGACCCTGACGTCTGACATCGGTGAATAAGTCATAAACTCTCGTTCATCTGTATCACTCTGGAAGTTCTTTGTGGTATCGAAAGGCTTCCATGATTCATTGTGCTATTCTCTAATGAGTGTGAGTCTTGATGGAAGTAGATCAAGGTCTTCAAAAATAGAGACTCCACCAAAAAATCATGTATGTGAAATCTGGACAAACAGCTGTATTTGGTGTACAGTTGTTCCAAACTTGTTCAACAAATCATATGCCAGTAAAATCCAACTGCGAACATTTTAGTTATAACAAACTGAAGCCAATACACACTTGATTGTCAACACTTAATGAATCATATTTATATAATCAGACATGGATTGAATAATCTTGGGAGCGACTTTGAAATTCGTCCCTACTTTGTCGTGTTGCGGAATTTCTAATTAACCATCACTCACTGATTAATGTAATATTTCAAAGGTTTGCGCTAGATTACGTAGTGTGTCAACAGATGAATTAGACCTTCACCTGTGGTCAGCTGACATGAAGACCTAACACAGAAGGTGTATGACACAGATCTCAGGGGCTCCTCCAGTGTATGCCGTAAACAGAGTTAATGTAACAGAGGCCACGTATCACGTACGGTGTGAAATTAGGGCAACCACCGTGTTTTCTTTACCTTCTGATATGAATAACTGTTTAGCATCTTACATTTGCGATATAATCTGAATCCCAAACATCCCCGACCTGTACTTCTTTGTAACAGTAACATATAGTACTACATTGAATCGTAACCGTGAAGGTCCGGGTTAGAATATTGATCTTCCTTCAGCAACCCATGTTTGTCGTAAGAGGCGATTAACGAGATCGGGTGGTCAGGCTCGCTGACTTGGTTGACACATGTCATCGGTTCCCAATTGCACAGATCGATGCTCATGCTATTGATCACTATCTTATTTACAGACCGCCGCTATTTAGCGGGAATATTGCTGAATGCGGCGTAAAACTCAACTCACTCACTCACTACATTGAATCGCTTCCTTTCATCCTTCACGAAAACTCTAAACGTTGGAAGCTCAGTGCCACCTCGGGATCTATCACCATTGGGCGTGTTTGTACCTATAAGGATACCAACAAGAGTCACAACCGTTGTTTCCCTTATGGTCCGGTCCAAGGTGTCATACTGGACATGTCATAGTAAACAGGCTACTACACTGTGATAGTTCCCAAGGTGAGCCAAGGTAAGTTGGAGCTTAGTGTGACCTCCATTACCCTGCCTCTCTCCTGGGATGGTTAGCTGATTCGTCAGCGAGATAATATTGCATATCTTTCTTCACGATGCTGGTGTTTTAGGGGAGAATCGGCCGTTTATATTCGGTACTCGTGTTTGCAGTCATCGTCTTGTTGCTTGACCTCAGAACTATGTAATATCACTCCGCGCCTATTCCGATGACGTGCGATGTTTACGCCTCAAAGCCACAGGAATCCTTCCGCCAGTCTCGTCACTAGCCAAATAACCACCGAGTGTTTTGGCAATAATACCCCACTTAAAACAAACAAGACGTGTTTACCATCGTTTCTCTAACTAATGTCGAACTGAGACAGCATCTGGTATAACAGTCACTCCAAGCCGCACCTACACCTACGAGTCGGTTGAAGTTAAGCGTTGCAAAGCGCACCTGAAGCATAATTTGTCAGACACGGTGAAAACACGACCCCAATACACGCCGAAGACTCTTCGCCAATGCCAGGAACTAAATTGAAGCTGCAACGTATTCTTCGCGACATAACTCAAATAGTTGAAACGTAGTCATAGTTGGCCAGTCTGCTTAAAATGTGCAATCCCTGAATCACGAAGCTGTACCTGCTTTTGAAAAATTAGTTCTGCTCGGAGGTTGAAAGTTTGTCGGTCTCGTTAATGTTGACATGTGTTGATGTTTTCTCTCTTACAGATCCCCCGGTGTGATACCCGTCAGAGAAAATATTTATCAGCAAGGAAATTAGTTCCGTCCTCAGCAGCCCGGCGGGGGCGGTGAACATTAAACGGGCTTTGTGTATATATGGCGCGTATGGCCCGTCCGCATGGTCAGCACCACAGACTCTGTGTCCTAACATGCGGTCAGGGAGTCTCACGACGGTCCATTACAGTTGGGGCTCTTCTATTGCACCCATCAGCCCCAACTGAGCATTTGGCTTGTATGTAATTCTTTAGATCTGTTTTGGGGTGCCACGTTTCTTTTCATTGTGAATAAATGTGATGAAGATATATACAAAATGATCTTACTTTTTTATTTATGGTATCCAATAAATTTTTGAACGAGTGTTTACTTGAACCGCTTTTGGTCTGTAATACCAGGGAGACTATATAACGTTGTAGATTATCCCTGGTTATACGAATTCGGTGTTATAAGATTTGGATAAAGAAATTATAGACGTCAAATCTTGGTAGAATATTTGTCGGGCTAAAATTTGAACAAGTATGAGCGCGTATAATGAAGGATCTGAAGGTTTCAGATCAAGTCCGAGATACGTTTTGCCTTCCGTTTCAGTATTACACGAATGTTTTATCTTCTGTGTTCGCTAACAGAGGTTATCAATGTCCACTATGGTAATATTCAATAAGTCTTTAGACGCATTCAAAGTATCACACTTTTCTCTATACATGTATTTACAAGAAGGCAACATTTGACACCAAAAATATCATATAACTGTAAAATAGTACGCATGACCACATCCATGCTCTTTCGTAAAGTCGGTGGTCTTTTCCAACTAACCGGGTACATATACGGGAAGACTGTTATCAGGGAAGACCTCATCCAATAGACTTCACACAGCGCCCAATCACATCAGCTGTGGTTCAGAGAATCTTTCAATCACCCCACCTGATAAATACTCCAAATATACATCCCCTGGATCCGACCCCTAGGGACTATGAGGAAGTCTATATGTAGACATCACCAACACCGCCTCGTGCAGTTCGTGCACTATCTGGCAACACGATACAGTGACCATATCGCATGTCGGAATTAGTGACCTTGTGACCTTGACCCCACACTAGATTGTCATTTCCCGCCATTACTCGCGGTGTAGGGTGTCAGTTGACTGCACGGATGCTCGGTAAAGTATTTACACTACACGACACCACTCAATCTTTTCTTGGCGACCATAGAGCCGTCGTGTTTATCTTCTATCGTGTGTTCCATACTGGTATATAGAAGTATATAGGGAAGACCTGATAGTTCCGAGGCAAAACTAGGAATGACTCATAGTGGCTAGTACAGAGTAGGGTGAAAACTACAGAAAAAATGTATACCGCCGTACAACTCATAAACAAGTGTCTATGATTAAATTTACAGGCGTAGGGTTTCTCAATAGGAAACACTTCCCACGCTATGTGGAAACTACTGAAGACAAAAAGTTAACATGCGGTAATATTCTTCGTCTAAGGTTCCAAGAAATATAGTTATGTATCAGCCGGCTCAGCCAGTTTTATACAAGAACCTCGAGTCTCTTAAAACGAGATGGGGCTGAGTCTGTCTCACAGTCCCTGAACCACATTATTTTCCCTACTGCCTTACCCTCCCTGCAATGCTTAAGTCCTAAATGAAGCAAGTCTAGATTTCCTCAGGTTCAGGTCAATCTCCCAACTCACTGGGGCTTCTTTTCAACTTAAATGGGTTTATTTGTTACCATCAAAATTATATATATTCAGGGACTAAGCGTTAGTCTACTGAGAAACGGATGAGACTGAAACGAGAAGGGGGTGAGGGAGCGGGTTGTTTTATCAAATATAGGCTGTGAATCCTGTAACAGCGACTTTGAAAGAACCTTTTTCCAACAGATTTTCAAATTTTACCTAATTTCATATGGTAATGTTAATCATCGCGACACGAGTCCAAAGACATACAATGCCTTACATCAGAATACGGCTGTGATAATTTCCGTTAATTACTCTCCTTTCAAGGGCTGTAACACATGACAGATTATCATAACAGGAAGTATTGCCAACTGTTGCTGAAACAACAGCCAGGTCCATGCTGGTGATGATCGCTCTGCGTGCAGCAAGTTATCCATGACCACTTAAACCGGGCGGTTATGATGACTCCAAAATACTGATGTAAATGTCAAATCTAGCAATCATTGCAGATACATATGTAGGACACACTTATACTGACAAGATGGCTGACTGGCCTCTCATTAAGACCTACTGTTTGCCCTCTGTCTGTTGTCAGCTTCAAGATAAAGCCTCCGACAGAACCCCCACAGTAAAACATGCGTCGAAACAGGTGCCGCGGGTTGCCAACAGCAGCCTTTAGCGCGAATCGTGTTTGGGGAGGGAAGGTTGCTTAAGACAAGTGCGCTGGTCAAGACATGTAAATAAGTGTATTATGTTTTTTCTATATTATAAAAGACGAAAGTATAATGACAGTTTATTAAGTTTACTTACATGAGGGTTGCCCGGTAACTCCATCAAACCATGATGCTCGGCCATACTCTTGTGTACTGTCTCTCAACACTTTAAGTACCTCCTTATCGTCAAAGCGTTGCCCTGACCTAAGGGCGGTTCCAGTCCGTGTTGGGTCGCTCACACTGTCCGTCAGTCCCCCGGGCTTGTTCCAAGTCACAGAAAAGCAGAATACGGACTGACAGAATTCCCACGGCTCACGGCTCCTTACACCGCTCCTAACACCAGCAGACGCCAACACTCACCGATGACGTCATGGCGCGCGATGGGGTTACGAGGTTTTCACGTTCAACTCTGAAACGAAGTTTTGTAATTATGGCGCTATTGATGGGCTTCGCATATGCTCCGGGTTACCCTAGGCGTGAAGAGGGTTCCGCTGAACACGACACACAGGTATACATATATTTGAATAATAGTGAGAGAAAGAGGATAGTTATTACCTACCAAGAGTCAAATAATTTTCAAAGATCTGTTTACTAACTCGTTCTGTGTGTTGCAGAACAGATACAGGGATACCAAACGCTGTAACAAATAATGCTCGATTTGGGTACTGTTTTTCAACCTCCAGCCCCAACCGAGGATAATTGTTTGTAAGGTTGAATGAACTGCAGTTAAAGAAGGTTTCAGTGTGTATAGCTGTGCTACAAAGTAGATGAAAACACGTGTGGTTAGTGCCGTGTTGTGTAATATTAGCTGTTGTCCATAGTGTGCTAGTATGTATCCCTCCGTCTGCATGTAAACAAATATACAAACATCATATATAATAATGATAAATATTAATAATAATAAATAGCTACGAATACGGTGTAGTTGATACGCTAATAGCTTATAACGATGAACTAATTGCCGTCTCAATGAATAATTATATATGAATGATTCAAGTTCAATAATTAACTACAGATAATTGCCTCAGTTCTATATAACCGCTGCCTAACCTTTGGTACCATTACCATTACATGGACCTATTAACGGTATTCCTGGATTGTATTAACAATATAATTATTATAATGATGAAGATAATAATAAGGATGGTGATAAAAGCAAGTTTTGTACTATTTGCTATTTAATTTACTGATCATTCAACCCACGTATGCATTCCTATAATGTGTCTTGATAAAACTCTTTAAAATATGAATGTGTTACATTTAAGCTATATTTGCCCGAAAACCTCATCTATTAGACGTGCCGATGTGTAGGCAAAGACAGTAAATGTCCCATGATTAGTTAGACCGGAACCTTGTTAAACCGGATGATTGTACTATGGACAGAATAATCCTGATAAACGGGTTTCTCTTTTCAGAAACATGTAACTTTGCATGTTGTGTTCCATGACCTTATAAAACATATAGCTACAAACCGACAAAACACATCGGTAATCAATTTCTTCTTTCAGTATTCATTTCATTTCATTTTTTACATCCCGGTGCTGCCTGGAAAGGTTTGTCATAATATCTCCCAAAAATATGTGTATGGTATGTGATTACACTCTTCTCTATAACAATTACGTCAAAATATATATACTATCAGAGAAAGGTTATTTTTTATCGACAATGTTAAGGTCACATGTGGAATGGGGAACTCGGGATCGGATGCCGGTTCGTATTTATTGACGCACCACGCCGAGAACCCACAGGGAGGATATTTGGGTTTTTTCATTCTGGTGGAAGCTTGAGACGAGTTCTAGAGAGAGGTCCGACTCTCTGATCCTAGCTCTTCTGATGAGAATTCCGGGTGCCACAATTAAGCTCTACTCGAAAGCAAGATAGGATCATTTTATCTACACCGCCGTAACAACAAACCTGATTGTGTAAAAACACTGTGGGATATTATTAGACGACGCCTATGATCTGGGGGAGGAGCTCTACCTCTCTGCTCGTGCACGTGGGGACGGGAAGGTCTGCCTTGCAGGTGACTGCGAACGGTTGGGGTGCAGGCCCTCTCATAATAAACTGGTCTTATACCCCTCTGACTGACATTGTCTCTCAGAGCAAATGTTATTTATCCTTGGCTATATTCACTTCAAGAACGGACATAACGCTGTGCAGTCGTGGTATCACCCGTGAAGATCCGGGCTGAACTGATATTTGCAGGGCGCCATCATGTAGCTGAACTATTGCGGTGTTAAACAACATACATGCGAACAAAGTGTGAGTTAGTTACGTTTAACGCCGCACTCAGCAATATCCCAGCTATATAGTCTGACTCACAGTCCCTGAACCACATTATTTTCCCTAGTGCCAAGCCCTCTCTGCAGTGCTAAAGCCCTAAATAAAGCAAGTCTAGATTTCCTCAGGTTCTGAATCTCTGAATCTCTGGTCTCCCTGGGGCTCCTTTTCAATTAAAAAGGACTTGTTTGTAACTATCAAAATTATATATCTTCAGTGATTAAGCATTAGTCTACCCAGCTATATGGCGGCGGTCTGTAAATAATCGAGTCTGGATCAGATAATCCAGTGATCAATAGCATGATCATCGATCTACGCAACTGAGATACGATGTCATGTGTCGACCAAGTCAGCGAGCCTGACCACCCGATCCCGCTAGTCGCCTCTTACGACAAGCATGGGTTACTGAAGATCAATTGTTACACGGATCTTCACGTGTTTAAAACAAAGAGTCGGGTATTATACTATACAAGCGACTACACCCTCCGGTACAATCAGGGCATCATACTGCACAAGTTACTACACCCCACGATACAACCGACCGCCTCCGTGGTGTAGTGGTTAGAGCGTCCGCCCGGTGAGCGGAAGGTCGTGGGTTCGATCCCCGACGCGTCATACCAAAAGACGTTAAACTATAGTACTTGTTGGACCCTGCCTGGCGCAACATGAATACAACAAGGACTGGTCGGCTCGGAGCCAGTATAATGTCTGAGTGGGGTATTCATGCTTCACTGCGGCATGGTATCTCAGTGGGCTAGCACTATAAAACCAGCTTAAGTCTGGGCTAGTACAAGCAGCCACACGTCGTCATATAAGCGAAATATTCTCAAGCACGACGTGAAACCCAATTTCACCTCACCTCACCTCACCCCTACGGTACAATCAGGGCACTATTTGTACAAGTCACTTCACCCCACGGTACAATCAGGGCATCCTTATGTACAAGTTACAAGCTCCAAGCGACAGATTAGCACGGTCGATTCGGGGACATCCAGAGAACTGACTACCCTAGTATCTTCACATGTATACATTTGGTTCATATTGTCGCAGCTCTGCCTCAACTACGAATGGACGCGACCTACAGAAGAGCCTGTAAGAGCCTTATCTACTTAAAGATACATTCAACACGCAGTGAACCCTCGGTTACAACCCAACCAAAGTCACATTCTACGACGGACATGTAGTAGAAGAGACTTTACAATGACAATGTATTTTTCGGTAGTTTTTGAATGCAGTTCCATCTACGGGTATTCTTGAACCGTTGTTGATGGAAAAAGTAGAAGCATGTCGGAAGGGGCCATGGCTGGTTGTAAACTGTCAGAACCCAGTTTGGTTGTTGAGAAGTAGCTGATCCTGTACAACCGTCGCCACGAACCGTGACCAGTAGTGGCCTTAATGAAGAAAACCCACTTCCGGAACAGGCTTCATAGGGCATTCATGGTCCATTGGAGAAAGCTGACCACAAGCCGTCAGTATCAACACTTCAACGTCGTTGTGAAGTCTTGAAGACCAGGGCCAAATTGCGCAAAAGCGATCTTAGTGCTACGACTATCTGAGGTCAGTGTTATCAGTTATAGTCTGGGAATTATCGAACGACAGTCGTAGCACTAACATCGTTTTGTGCAAGTGGATCCAGATCATCGTTGGTAAAGACAGACCTACGACATACACACACAGACTCACAGCATACACACACACACACAACATATACACACGGACTCACATCGTACATACACGGACTCACATCAGACAGAGACAGGGAGAGACTCGCAACAACAACACAGACATAAATACATAAATAAGTACTTGCAGTTTCAGTGTACAAGCCAAACAGACGACATAATCGTCGTGCAGTTTCATTCTCCTGGATGAAACGAATAAGTGTTCAAGTGTATATTTATGTCTGTCTCTGTTAGGCATTAGTATGCGCAGAAGAGCATGTCGGAAGTGAATGAGTAGAGTGAAGGCCGGTGATGCATCTGAGACGTTTATACTCAAGTAGCAAGGTATTGGTGTTCACAAACCGAGAACGAAATCATTGGACAAAGATGAGAATCGATCACACGAACATGACAAGTTCTGGGAAAATCCAAGGGAGGTAATTCAACAGGGTGCATTACTTTGACTGCCCAAACCACACACAGACAATCACACACGTGTGAGGATGAGGAACCAGGGAAAAACGTTGGAAAAATAAACTTGTTAAACTCCCGTGAAATGAAAATCTTAAATCGTTCAATGACAAATTACGTTTGCGTTTCCGTGTTTCTGTGCCAATTACTGTTTTACCTTAAACCTAAAGTTTTAGAAATAAAAAGAACGTTTGTTTGCTGAAAAAATGTGACTGATAAATCTTTTTTTTTATTTACAGAGACTGTTTATGTGTTATTGTTTTTCTTCCGTCGTAAATAATGACATAAAAACTGCACAAGGGGCACGGATTTACTGCAAGACTGTAAACCAGCTGTCCGACACGGGTGCGGAGACGCTCTGCAGAGACTGGGACTATGCTAGTTATGTGTTGCCCCAGATGGCATCTCATTAGCCGGGGTACCAAGTGTCGATTGCAGCACAGAAACTAATTGCAGACAATCAAATTGTGCGTGTAAAATATAGTACATTCTACGAGTTGCGGAGAAATGAAGACAAATAGGCGACATAGATCGAGGGAATTACTTCCGACAAATCTGTTTGCACCAACGTCTTTAAGGTTAGAGAGTCATACAGCCTTTGTACAAGAGCTTCCTTCAGTCGGGCGTGCCTATGACAGGTCAACAGAAGTGTCGGGTCTGTTTCCAATCAAGAACTTTTGTGAATGGTATTTTGCTTACACTGAATCATTGATATAAAGCTGGTTGGAAAGAAAATAATCTTGATCCTCGTTTGATTCTAACTGTCCAATCAGTTGACTGTATTTTGTTAATATTTCCTGCACTGTATCCCCTCCTGCCCATACCGATATCTTCTTTGATAACACTCCCGATTCAGACATGGAAATCAACTGTAACAATCTCCATCTGCCGTTACTTATAGTCGATTTCGCCAGCCGGTGAAAAATGCCTCTGTCCCCTTCTTGTGTGATCCACGATACATTTACATATTTGGTATCATATTTGA